TTGATTTCTGCTATGAATTCATGACTACTAAATATGAGTTGTCCTTCTAGGTTTCGTAGATGTTGTGTTTCCTCCCAGATGCGTCCCAGAGTGATGGTCTGTTACGGGCAGGTCCTAGTCCTCTTTTAGTGAGACAGGAACTTCCCAAGAATGTGCCACCGGTGTTCCCTCTCAGACCTTCACTGATGGATCACATCGAGAAAATCAAACATCCTGTTCGGTGACGCCAGAATTGTAGTGGAAATTCACAACTAAGAACTCAAACTCAAAGTAATTAAATCAATCTTTACTGGAGAGGTTCACAAACTCAATGCAAGCTTGATGAAAACTCTCTAAAAAGGGTATTCCCTTTCTGTCCTTATATACTGCTACACAAACAAGTCATATAAGCATGATTTACATTATTCATTATTAATGTTGGTTCCTGCATGTGACTGACGAGTCTTCTTCTCTCAAAGCTGGGACCTTGAAACTGAGATACTCCTTTTGGTTCCCAGAGCAATGTTCTGGGCGTATTGCAATTGGTCTGAGGAGGAGGTCACAGTCACCTGCACGAACCAAGATAAAGTGAGAGGAGATGCTGTGTACAATTCAAGGCTATCTCTTCAGACAATAACATTTTCCCTCACACAAGTTTAAATATATAAAATGATATACTGGCGCTGTAAATACAATTACAGTATAAATAATAATGTAGTACTCACTGTACTGGAAACAATTAATACTTTGGTGTTAATTTGGTGATAATGTGTATAAACATAAAGCACTTAACTACTGTAACATTCATGAAATTAATTAATGAAGATGCCTATATTCAAGAATATACAGTGGGAGTAAAGGGCGATATCATCCATCTTTAAAGTTGTATCTTTATTTATTGTTTGATCATTGAAATAAATATATCTCCATTGCCTGCAACACACAGCTGAAGCAGATATACTTGAATGAAAACAAACAAACTGATGACATCAGTATACACCTGTGGTACATTCAAAATAATTAGTTAATGTTGAAGTTGACCTGCACCTACACAGATGAACAATAAACACTCATACATACGAGGCTTCTTGTGCAACAGGGACTGGGGATACAAAGTCAAGTCAAATCCAATGAAAGCAACACTAAACACTTGAGATGAGTTATTCAATAACAATATCATATTCATTCATCAAATCACAAGTACGTTGCCTGAGTACTTTTAGTACAATAGTGTAGGGCTTGAGATTTTGAATGCAATGCCCTCTGTCATTACCAGATTTGTAGTTGCTGTCCCTCCCATAGTCAATGACACAAACATATATACACACAAACAGACTAGTTCTCACCAAAACAACCTGACTTTTCAAGTATACGCTTATACGTTTATTTTACACTCTAAACAGTTAAACAATCAATGTGCGTATCTGCATAAAAAGTGCTCCATTAGTTATGTGTAGGATAGTCTTAGTGTTCTGCTTTCATATAGGCCTATAATGACAACTATTTTATCTACCCAAAATAGGCTTTTGGGTGAGTATGGCAAGATTTAAAGTCCACCATTGTGGAGTTGTTCCGAACTAAAAACATTCATTAAAGTGTAATGCACTGTCAATAACTGTCTATAACTGAAGATAAAATCCATGTAAAACCATATAGCTGACAAATAAGTAAACTTGTGTGATAAGACATGATAGTAACGCCATTGACACTGCTGTATCCATGAAGTGATAAATCAATGTTTCGAAGGGTTTTATGTTTTGCCCTAAAATTTGAATTAGCATAGGTGGGAAACCTGTCTGTAAAGAGCACATGGCTGCTGGTTGAATTGTATTGTGTTGCTCCTGAGAAACTCAGACTGTGGGTTTTGTGCCATGGCTCCACACCTTCTGTAGGGCATTAGGCGGCTCACTTATGATATGTTCTCTTTTTTAAAGTTGCCGACTTGACTTTATTATCAGGTGGAGCAAACGTACACAACAGCTTTGGCTGACACTTAAATAAATAAACCCCTTTCTACTCAAAATTAAAAGAATATAGAACAATCAAGAAAAAACAACTTTTGTCATTTTGAAGAAAAATGTGCAAAAATGTCTAGCTATCAAATAGCAAACCAGCAAAACAAAACTCATTCCACATAATGCCATACTTTCAATTCATATGAAGCAACTAGGCCTAAATCAAAAGACCAGAGGTCCTAAACCATAGATAGCCTGGTCCCAGATCTGTCTGGGCTGTATAGCCAACTGTATAGCCAGTGTCATATACAGCACAAACAGATTTGTGACCAGGCTACCTAGATCTGTGAACATGTGGTAAAGTTTATATAACGCATTCTGCCTCATCAATATAGCCAAACTTAAGCCTAACTGCACAGCGTGTGGACTTTATCCATTTTCTTCAAAAGCTGTGCCAGTGAGAGAGTCACTTGATTTCACTACAGATAAATAGTATTTACACTGAATCCATCTACCTCAGATATTATCTTAATTTCAGGGATATACACACATTACATAAATGTGCACGTTATCTTATGCATACGTTCAGGTTTTACACACTGTTGTACATAAAGAGAAATGTTTTGTGCACTTAAATGTAGAAAATACATTCCACATAGTGCCGACACACACAGAGGGAGAGTTGTGCAGAGTGAACAGTACGACATAAAAAAGGAAACAACCAAAAAAACAAAAAACATCTGGGTAAAAGTCGGTCAAAATATATTTTTTGGGACACATTGTCGTCTTTGAAAATACAGAAATACAATACTTTTATACAAAATCAACAATACAGTATTATCAACAGTATACGTGACCTACCACTGACGTGACAAAGGGACCACACACTTACAGTAAATCTTCCAGATAGTTAATGGGGCCATAGAAATAGAATGACTGGAATGGACCAAGCCTCTCAGATCACATATATAATTTCAATGGGAACGTCCGTTCTAGTTATTTAATTTCTATGGATAAATAAGAGTATTAGTTGGCTCATAATAGGCCGTCAATGTTCTTCTCCGATATCTCCTTCTCTTTGTCCTCAGTGGCGCCCCCCGGTGGACTGTACTTGTTATTGTAGTCCTGGAGCATGGTCACAACATCGTGGTGTCCAAAGTGCACTGCCTCTTCCATCGGTGTGTTACCCCACCTTGATGGAACAGACAAGAGACATGGTAAACACTGCTCTTAAATGGACACATTTTATATTAGCTAGGTTTTCCATCTAATTGGCGACAGATATTAATGTGAATATTCTCAAATCTGCATAAATAAAATACTTTTACCCCCCTGTGAAGTTCATCATAACTTATTTCACCTGTAGACTAATAAACTGCATGCTTTCCCAAGTCGTAGTGGGAGGACCACACAACATATCATTGTGTGACTCCAAGTTTACATCTATATGATGGTTATTATATAAATATTTGCGCATAAAAGCGTTTCCACCACCATTTCTTGCATAATACATTTTAGAGACAAAAATATCCCATCTTGTCTAGCGTATTTTGTTTTGTCGACATTTGGAAAGTTTACCAACAAATTTGCTGTTTCCATCCAGCCTGTCGGGACATTTCTTATCCGACGTACTTTACTCGCATAAAAAAGTTGGATGGAAAACTGGTTACAGACAGACACTGGTTGAAAATATGTCTTCTTGTCCATTGGAGACATTGGATCTTATCTACATTGACAGACACTGGGTGGTCTTTGGGGCCATTGATTCTAAGCTCACCTGTCTTTGGGAACAGGGTTGACCCTACATGCCTCCAACAGGAACTTGACCACCTCCACATGTCCTTCTGCTGCTGCCACATGGAGGGCCGTCCTGGAGTCATAGTCCCTCTGCTCCATGTCCATGGAAGACAGAGCAAACCTGGACACATTCCACAGAAGGACAGGGATGAGTACTTTACAGCAGCCAAAATAGCACACGCCACCTCTAGTCCCCATGTAGACACACAGGGAAACCTTACAAGGTCTCTGTCTGACACAGGGACAGATTTGGCATTTACTCTCCAAAGATGTCAAAACATGACATATTTCCTTTCATAGCTTATTTTTAAGGGCTTATTGGCCAATATGGAGATAATGCAGTGCTGTGTACCTCCTCAGTGCAGACACATCACCAGTGTACGCAGCAAAGAGAAGATTGATGACCGACTTCACCTGAAAGACAAAGAGAGGCAGTTTGCATCAGTTTGCCTGTCAACCACTTTCCTTTAGCACTATCAGTATCTTCCAGTGGATGGCACTATTGCTTTAAAAAACACTCAGTCCAACGACAGCCTTTTCAAGGGAATATGTTGACTACATATACATGAAGGCACCTTGTCGAACATAAGGAAGTAGAACAAGACAGGAGAAGGAGAGAGAGGCTCCCAGTAAAACCCGACTCACCCTCTGGTCTCCGCCCTCCCTGCGAGGATCCAGCTTCTTGACAAAGTGCTTCAGGTTGTCGTAGTTGTGGAAGTTGCAAAGGGACACCAGATCCTGGAACAGAACAATCACTGTCAGACTTTCTGCAGTTTTTCATCAATCAATCAATTAGATCATTGAAAGAGAGACAACAGAGTGAAAGCTATCAGTTTCTCGTACCGTGCAGAACTGGATGCCTCGTACACTGTTACCCAGCTTGTCCAGCGGCGGAGACCAGCACATGATACCCATGACGTTGGGCACCACCAGCAGGATGCCCCCTGCCACGCCTGACTTAGCTGGAAGTCCAACCTGCCAGACAGCATCGAGGAAGAGGTTAACAGGGAGTGCAGACAACAGTGTCAAAACATATCAGCATAAATGAACAGCAGTGGATGGACAAACATCATGAAGTGGAAGACCTACTGCAGTGTAATGTGTAATGCTTCAATGGTGAAAGATTGGAGACACAGTGGGAACAACGACAAAGAACAGCAGGCCAAAAACAGGCCAAACAGACAGTAGGAAACAACGCTAAACTAGGGGGAAGGAAAATTAGGGGACTGCAAATTAGTATTGTAACTCAAATCTGGTGCAAAGTCTGTTGTACATGGTCCCTGTCAAATCAACAAATGCAAGTATTGAGGGAAGGAACTTGGAGACTCACGTGGAAAGCGAACTGTCCCGAGAAGTCATACATGCCGCAGGAGTGCATGAGGCTCAGGGTGTTCCGTACCGCCTCCGGGCCCAGCACGCGCTCGCCTGTGATTGGACAAAAGCCGCCGTTGGCCAGGGTGGCTGCCATGACGCTAGCGCTTTCACAGGTCACCTCGATGGAGCACAGCTAGAGTAGAATAGAATACTTTGAATATACCATAGGGAATAACAGCTAACAGAGAGAGAAAAACACAAACAGGATGTTTCTCCACTAAAGCCCATTGAAATGATACAGCTTCAAACTTGAACCATGTTGAAGAAAAAATGCTCACTCGATGCCCACACCAATTTACCATGTATACCTACACTGTCATCACCGCCAGTGTGTCTATGTATGCGGAGGACTATACACTATACACGTCAGCTACTAAAGTGAGTGAAATCACTGCAACACTTAACAAAGAGCTGCAGTTAGTTTCAGAATGGGTGGCAAGGAATAAGTTAGTCCTAAATATTTAGATTTGGGACAAATCATTCACTAAACCTCAACTAAATCTTGAAATGAATAATATGGAAATTAGCAAGTTGAGGTGACTAAACTGCTTGGAGTAATCCTGATTGTAAACTGTCAGGGTCAAAACCTTTTGATATAACAGTAGCTAAGATGGGGAGAAGTCTGTCCATAATAAAGCGCTCCTTTGCCTTCTTAACAACATTATCAACAAGGCAGGTCATACAGGCCCTAACTACTGTTCAGTCGTGTGGTCAGGTGCCACAAACAGGGCAGCACGGTTGGCCCTTAAATGTACACGGAGAGCTAACATTAATGATATGCATGTCAATCTCTCATGGCTCAAAGTGGAGGAGAAATTGACTTCATCACTACTTGTTTTTGTAAGAAGTGTTGACAAGCTGAATGAACCGAGCTGTCGGACACCCATGCAGAGCCCAGACATGCCACCAGAGATCTCTTCACAATCCCCAAGTCCAGAACAGACTATGGGAGGTGCACAGTACTACATAGAGCCATGACTACATGGAACTCTATTCCACATCAGGTAACTGATGCAAGCAGTAGAATCAGATTTTAAAAAACATATAAAAATACACCTTATGGAACAGCAGGGACTGTGAAGAGACACACGCATATGCACACAAACGCTAGCACACACACGTACATTGTAATATTGTTGTATGGTGGTATTATACATTTTGTATTGTAGATATGTAGTGGTGTAATAATGTTATATGATGTACTGTTTTATCTTTTGTTTTATGTGTGATGTAAGTGTCTTAATGTGTTTGGAGTAGCTGCTGCCAAATACAAATACTCACCTGGAAGTAGAGGTCTAAAATGGAAGTCATGTCTGTCCCTTCTGGAAAGCACTAGAAAGAAACAACAGTGATTTGATTTGACAGTCAGACAATGCCTAGTAAATGCCTAGTAAAAATGTCTAAGTGATCTAGAAAGGTACATTTGACTGATGTAAAATGTGTGTGCTTGTTTCAGCTGTCACCAACCTTCTTCTCCTTCAGATAGTAGCCGATAGCAAAGTTCCGATCCCCAGACTCCCTCTCTGACTGGAATCTGGGTGCAAAGAGAGTTGTGTTGTTAGTTAGCTGTTCTGTTTCAACTAAGTTCAATTCCAATTTGGTTCCAATTCTACTTCCCAAACCAGTAAAGCTATTTGTGTTGTTGACATAGCCACAGGAAGTAGTTTGGGGGTGGGGGCGGCGGCGGCGCAACATCATTGTTTTGCCCGCACTACTGACAGCTATATCGGTCTGCTAATACAGGACTGGTAAAGGCCCAGTGCACTACTTTTATTAATGTTATTACATTCTTTGACGTTATTTTCTTTTAGCAACTTTTCAGGGGGTGCTGCAGCACCCTCAGCACCACTACTTCCTGTGGCTTTGGTTTTTGATGTTGTTGAGATCGAGATTTATCACTATGGTTGTTGTTTTTGTGGTGGTTATTCTAAAGCAGAATACAGTACTGATTGAAACTGATATTCATACTAAAAAATCTAGTGATGAAAACAACATTGATGATTACTAAGGCATGGCACCTGGCCAATGGTGGTGAGCCAAGGTGCTGAACCAAACCACAACCCCAGTTCTTCCTCTTGAGAACTCACGTGGCATTGCTGAAACCCACATACTCGTTTCCTGCCAGCTTGTTCATGAAGTTCATGACCTGCAATACAAAGTCCAAAGGTCACAAAGTCTACCCATCATTACAAAGATGATCATCTCAAATAGTCAGGGCTAAACATAAAAGAACTGGGTAGCGTTACTTACATAATCAAATTTCTCAGCGTTGCTTGCCCCTTGCTAAAAGAGAAACAGAAAATCACATACTATCAAATTTGATATACAGTATATCACCTAGCTAGTGGGAATACCTTATGACATATTCAAATTATTCCTAGATCAAATTACCATTTTCATTACAAAATCTAGCAATAATCATTATTTAAAAAACTGTATGTACCCTAAAGAAAATAAGTTTAGTCCTAATATTACAAATATTTAGGATTAGTGGGCAACTAGCTAGTTGGATATGAAGGAGACTAAATGAATCATTAATCAAAGAGTCGAGGGTTTTCAAATGAGAAAATAATCTACCAAAAGACAATCGGCAAAACAATGTGTAGCCCATTCTACCAGACTGTTATGGGGTTAAAATGCACCACAGGTAAATACAATTCCTTATATCTGCAATTCTGCATAGACAGGTATACGTGAAGTTAATCTGTAGTAGTGTAAGTAGCCTATGTACTGTAGGGGTCTGAGTGTCTGTTGAAAGTTAGTGATGTGATGTATGCTAGTGTGTGGCTGATCCTGTGTGTTGTAGAAGGTTATGGATCTATATGTGCAGATTAATTAGTGATGTCATCACTTAATATTGTAGAACACACTAACTTCTGGGATATGTAGTGTGAGCTGAGGAGAGGAGGTACTACAGAAAGGAAACTTTATATTTAACTCTAATAATACAAATAGGGCAAATAAATCAGTTAAATACATTCAAACAATGAAACACAAAATCAATCCAAAACAAAATGGCACGTTTGTACTATCACAATTTTGAAAAACATATTTTAGGATCCTTGCCTTTCTGTTTATTATCAGGTTATAAGCAGTTTGTAAACCGTTTGTAAAATGCAGGTGACAAATTATTATAACAAATCCAGATGTTGTTCAATAATTTAAAGAAAACATTTACCAACGTCATTGACCTGTGGCAGTGGTCATAATTTCCCACAGATCTTAATGCTGTAAAATATGCAACAACAAATAAACCACAAACGAGGCTTCAAAAATACATTACAACATTCCCATAGTTTAGTCCCAGATTTACCATAGGGAAACCACATTTTGAGAGACAGATCTGGTCTATATTACTGAATACATTAGATTAGAATGTGGGGGCATCCAATCAGTGGATTGATTATTGAGCCCACCATTAGCAACCGTTACAGTGATTGGTTTAAAGTTATAATGAAGATTTAAGCAGAAAGATACCACATCATTACCCTGTCAAGTCAAATGAGTGCTATCCAAATAACCAAATTACTGATAGGCTACAAATGTAGGATCTTAATTTGATCACTCACAGCAGGAAATGCAAACTTGTAGTGTATTCAAGGTTTAAAAAGGCTTCTACATTTTGTAATTTATTTTCACTTTAAAATGTCAAGACTTGATTTGCCATAACGAAAAATGTATCAACCCCTACAAAAAAATGTCCATTAATTATATAATTCACATAATAATTCACATTTCCTGTTGCTGCAGAATTATATTCATGCTGTAGCAAACTGGCTCAAATTAAGATCCTACATCTGTATATCACTAGGTGTAATCTTTTGTGTACTGTACTATGTACCATATTGAGTACATAGTGTACAGTATGACACAAGTATCAATAAAATAAAATGTTAACATTAATTACTCCTTATAGAGTTGTTACTCCTTATAGGTGTTATTCCTATAAACTCTTAGACAGGATAATCATACAGCACCTTTCCATCAGAGTTCAACCCCAAATCAAACCAGAAAACTCAAGGCTTCATTCAGTAACTTGGCTTGGTTGTGGTTGAGATTGATGAGTAGCCAAGCCTCATCTATCTGGGTCCATATGCCATGTTACGTTGAAATATGGAACAAAGTGCTAGTCTTGTTTTGAAGGTGGTAATGTAGTGCCTACACTGTCTTCATCTAAGACAGACAGTTGTGCTGTTAAACTAGCCCCTACAGCTATATATATGGGCTTTGGCTACATACAGTAAGAAAAAGGTACCTGCAACAGGTTGCAGCCACTAATTATTGGAGATGTAACCTCATTTCTGCAGAGAAAGAAGATCTAAAGAGCTAAGAGAGAATAGCTAAAAGTATTATTTCTCTGAATACATTGAAGGTGGAAGAGAAGTCATTTGGACAGAGTTTGTATCATTAGCTTAGTTTACGGTATGTGATTGTTGAAAGTTTAGTATGAAACAAACGTAGTTCCTCGTGTGGATATGATAAATGGGCTGGTGGTGGGTTATGTAGTAACAACACTACAGAAGACTTATGCACACAACATACATGTATGTGTCCCCTCTTGGTTCTAGTCTTCAGCGAGGCACCTACAACGCATTGGAGGTGAATGTGTTTTACCCTACAATATCTCATAATAAACACACAGAGAATTCATCACAGTTTCAGCAGCAGAGGGTGCACTAGTCCCATACAGTAAGCTATTTCTAACAGCACTTCCTGACTAATAGCCAATAGCAAAGATGTTCTACTCCTCTCAGCCAATAGCCAGCCAGCATGGCTTTGCCTCTGCCTGGTCACAGACATAAGATTTAAGCAGGCGACAGGATGCACAGAACACACCCACATTTTGATCTTTCATTCATATATCAAAGCAGTTTTACCCATGATTAAATGTATGGCTGGGCTGGTTAGACCAATCTGACACGCTAGCGCTGTCTCACACAAACTCAGCCTTGTGTGTACTGTATGGGCTATGTGCATAACTGAAAGGCAGGCAGCTCACTGATGCTTTCACCAAACAAATCCCCTTTCAGCTGAATTATCTATAGTCTTAATCTCTCCATATACAGTACAGTGCAGGCTGGTAATCTGGCTAAAGCAATGAAGTCCCCCCTGTTTTTAAATGTATTTAGAATGTAATTCAATACAACTTTGTCACTCCAGAGGTGACAAGCTACGTACAGAACTGAACTAACGTATTATGTAACCTAGCATTGGTACAACTACCCACTGTACTGAACAATGGCATGGTTCGACGTTTCTTTTTTTAACAAATGTTTCCCCCTCAAAAAACATACATTATTATCTGAAATTCAAATGTTATTTACCTTTAGGAGGGACGTGCACACAATAGCGCCGGCGTTAACCATAGGGTTATGTGGTTTATCTGTGGAAATCAGTGTATATTACATTATAACATGGTTACAGATGCAGTGGACAGAGTATACATTCATACACAGCAAGGTTACATTTTCTTCACAATCACCACACATTACATTTACATTTTAGTCATTTAGCAGACGCTCTTATCCAGAGCGGCTTACAGGAGCAATTAGGGTTAAGTGCCTTGCTCAAGGGCACATTGACAGATTTTTCACCTAGTCGGCTCGGGGATTAGAACCAGCAACCTTTTGGTTACTGGCACTACGCTCTTAACCACTAAGCTACCTGCCGCCCTTACTCAACACATTCAATGTTCGAAGCAAATATGCCCAATGATCATGTAACTTTGAACTTGAAGTGAGGAAATTAGCAGAATAACAATCAGATGGATAATGAATGAATGCTAATGGGACCACAGCTGCCTTTGTAATCTAGAGAGCATACTAGTGATATTGAGGTACATAGCCATGAACTCACTGCTCAGTACTAGCTGCACTGTAGGTCTGTTGTGTTACGCCACTTCCCCTTCCCTATCCCCTACACCCTTTAATCTTCTTATGCAATCACACACAAAAACCAGGAAACAACAACATTCCTACCACTGCTAGCAGGTTGCCTAAACTGATTAGATAACATGGCCAATAGGAGAGAGTACATCAAAACCAAAACCGACCTGGGATTTACTGAAACCCTGTACTAAACCTGAGTCACAATCTACAGAGCTAGATAGCATCATTTACCAACCAACACAGCAATCAGAGCAATGAGTTGCATTGCCTTGATTTGATTTGAAAAAGATAAGGCTTGATTTGAGAGAGCTTGACAACTGCTGCTCTCCAGATAGCTTCTGTATGTGCTTTATACTTAAAGCTGAAATCCGCAGAAGGTGAAACATTGACACTGTTCACGGCAGCACAGTTGTTATTGCTTTTGTTTTGTTGATGAAACGGAGGAGAGGAGCATCCAGCATTGTGAAAAAAGAAAAATAAATCGCATTGCATACTTTGCTGTTCTATCGAAGCGTGCAACGATGTGCAAATTTGTCAGAGGGAAAAAAACGTATTTGTTGTTGTAATATCGCAAGCTAACGTGGCAGTTTCACCAAGTACGGATTCCAGCTTTAAACTAGGATCTTATCAAAGATATGATACATGAAGTTGTTGTTATTCTCTAGGTCTATGTAGACTATTGCAGATTGAGTAGAGCGTATGGACATTGAGAGCCTATGTACTGATTCTATCCGGCTGCACCAACACCTCTCATTAAGATTACATAACATTACCATGGCAACAGACTGCACCACAGGCTGGATCACCTTTCACTGAATCACATGACAACCCACCCAGAGGGACTACTTTCTATCTATTAATCAACCCGGACAACTGCCTTGTCCAATGTATGTATACAAAATATAAATGATTCTATGAAAGGACATTATCTTTTCACAGGGGTATGCTAGGTTTGAAGTAAAATAGGACCACCTGAGCAGCACTGCATCGTAACTAACACCTCTGTTGTCAGTTCTGCGTGTGAAATGAACATCCACACAGTGAGCAGTGGAGCTCCAGACAGACTGGTGCTGCCTGCGACCATAGAAATACAGAATCTCATTCTGGAGCTCTGTAGGTTTTATGACACCAGCCACTCTAGTATTTTATATCTCTATACGTGCGTCCCTCACCTTCCTCGTTAAGGAATAGTTTGTTGAAGCGCAGGCCGCTGGGCTCCTTGCCGATGAAACGGTGCACATAATCTGTCCCGTGGTCGTGCACGGCGATGGCATACTTCAGCGGCTTTACACACGACTGCAGGCAGAACGGGACTTTGGTGTCACCTGCTGTGTGTCTAAAGAAGGGATGGAGAGAGGGGATGAGTGGGGGAACCAGGAGATAAAAGCAATAAGCAGAGGAAAATTGCAACAATACGAATGAATGCCTCATTATGTAGGGTAACTAATGAGCTACTTTACAATGTGTGACATTGTCATTGACATTGTCACAATGTCAGTGACAGGAACAGGAATGCTATAACAGTTTGACAGGAACACTATACTGTAAGTCAAGGAAGTGCTCCATCTTGGTTATAGAAATACAAATGTAGGTTACTACATGTTTACTACTTGTTAAACATGACTATAGCTACTGTACCTTTGTCCATCCACAGTGCATATGGACACGGCCCAGAGGTCCGGGCTGAACCTTGCCAGCTGGGGAATGTAGTCAGCCACCTACACAACAAAACAAAACACAAGGCAACAACATATCAACACTTACCAGTCCCCATGGGCATTTAAACAGGAAATGATCATCACCACCATCACCATGCCGTCTCACTGACCCCGGGGCCTCTCCCTCACCCACCTGTCCCCCTCCCAGGTTTTTGGCATTCTCATAGAGCGCGTCGATTTCGGAGGCGAAGGACACAAAGTCGGGGATAACAAACTTCTTCCTGAAGGCCTGGGTAAGCAGCACGATGTTGCTCTGGACACACCTGGAAGAGAAAAGGAGACGGTGGTGTTTATGTTAGGTACCAGAGTCTCCTTATGATTAGTGTAACACACAGAGTCCTGTGTAACTTCAGTTGGTAGAGCATGGCACTTGCAACGCCAGGGTTGCGGGTTTAATACCTGCTGGGGCCATCCATACGAAACTCTATGCATGCAAGTCGCTTTGGATCAAAGCGTCTGCTAAATGGCATATATTACTACATTGTTATTGTACACATGATACAGGGAATAGATAACTGTGAGGAATTAGCTCATAGATTTGTATAAGATGTTATATGAAATCAGATATCTATTTACCCTGTCCTATCCCTGCTACTGTATGAAATCAGATATCTATTTACCCTGTCCTATCCATGCTACTGTATGAAATCAGATATCTATTTACCCTGTCCTATCCATGCTACTGTATGAAATCAGATATCTATTTACCCTGTCCTATCCCTGCTACTGTATGAAATCAGATATCTATTTACCCTCTCCTATCTCTGCTACTGTATGAAATCAGATATCTATTTACCCTGTCCTATCCCTGCTACTGTATGAAATCAGATATCTATTTACCCTCTCCTATCCCTGCTACTGTATGAAATCAGATATCTATTTACCCTCTCCTATCCCTGCTACTGTATGAAATCAGATATCTATTTACCCTCTCCTATCCCTGCTACTGTATGTGCCCACTGGTGTGTTTACTGTATAGGCTTCTCTTGCCTATAAATAGTTTCCTCCCAGATGGCTTCCAGTCAAAGCTACTGCAGCTCCTCTTAGCATGTTTGTGTAGCTCCTAGTGTGTTGTCTTATGATCTGTATCCTGCAGGGGGGCTTGCCTACAGAGTGGTTTCTCAAGCGGTCACTGGGCTATGTGTGCTATGTCACATGGTATGTCCTAGAGTTGTAAATAGGAACAATCTTTTTGTTGAACTACTTTAATGAAGAAGCAAATATCAGCTGATCTGGAAATGACAGTTCTTGTGATCGTAGAGATGAGTCTCTTGACAAATTGCCATTTATTATTTTTGTAACAAGGATATGTTAAGATTAATGGGATTGATATGACCTTGACAATCTGAAAGGACTAGGCTATAACATGCTTCCTTATAAAGCCTGAAAGATGATGAATCATTCATGATTTGGAATGCATTGAAATGTCCAAATGCTTCTAAGGAACCTGAATAAGTTATGGCCTACATGAACTGTGTTCAAATAAAGGAGGCACACAAATAACTAAATTACAAACAGTGCTTGACATATCAAATGACCACTAAAGCCTTCTGTTCTAGGTCTAGAGGGTTCTGGAACTAGAACTAACTTGTTCTACATCCCAGCTCTAGAGTGTCTTACTTCTTGAAGAGGTGTCGGTCCAGGTTTCCGTCTGAGGTGGTCTTCATGATGACTTTCAGGTTCTCCATACATTCCTTCAGCCGGGGGTCTCCGGTCCGAAGCCCTGTGGCTTTCAGCGCCTGCAGAAAGCATGGTTCATGTCAGGGGGCTGACGATTATCATATGTATTACATGTTTACAACATGTTTATTATGTTTAATGTCATGCTTATAACAAGGTTATAACTTGACAATTTAATGGTATATTACGCTATATTTTTTGAGGGATCCAATGTAAATGTCAAGACTAATAAGGCCTATTGAATAAACTGCTCTTCCATGCCAGATAGCGGGAGATCAACATTTCACCATAGAAATAGAATGAATTCTAATCTAACAAGAATCTAATTCTATGAATGTCAGCCCAAGCAAGGGGCCAGACATGAGTGAACTATTGCTTCCTGGTACAGCCAGAGTAGTAACAAGCCTTATATTCAGATATACAGTATAAGGCTGTGGCAGTAACCATGACACAGCAGGCACCATTGCTATACTACCATCCAGCTGGCCCAACCATGTGGCTGCCTGGTTGGCTCTGGCCTGACACTCACTGTGGTGAATTTGTGAGCTGGGATTTTTTCAGCGCCCCCGGCGATGGTATAGAATAGCAGATCCTCCAGACTGGGCAGGATGCCTGCCTTCCTTCTCCTGACACACACACACACACACACACACACACACACACACACACACACACACACACACACACACACACACACACACACACACACACACACACACAAACATACAGTGAGTGAGTAACGGCCAAGGTTCTCTAAAGGCAATTGGGAACTGCAGCAGGGGGCCAGGGTTAACTAGCTATAATACTGTAGAGGAGAGGTGGTGAGTATTTGGCGTTACAGTCCCAGCTTTAAGGAAAGGGTTTGAACACTGCTTCCAAGACACCAGTCAGATAGGTTCAGTTAGAATGTCACTTGAATGGTTCAAGGAGAGTTCAGAGAATTTGAACAGACAATATCTTGTTTGCAAGGATCTTCAAACATAAATAAGGTAAGCTTTGTTGGTTTCATGTCAATTTAAATACATGCATATCAGTTACAAATTATAGTGTCAAGTTTTAGCTAATGCCCGGGGGCTTGAGGTGAGTCATCACCCTATTTACTGACTGGTATTATGCATAGCAGCTCCAAATCCGTTCCACTCACTCTGGGAGAGAAGAGTTAGTACAGTATGTTAGAGGTAGATAGATAGGACAAATACTGTAGTTAGGCCTAAAACGAGGTGTATGTATTTCATAATGATTCACCATACACCAAATCGGATCTCTGAAGGAGGTGGGTGGGAGCTCAGGCTTAGTCAGTCCCGCAATGCATCATGGGACAGACAGGCAATAGAGCTATAGTAACCCAGCTCCGTAGCCTGCCCTAGCGATTAAGAAGACGTCACAACGTTTCAAAAATGATGAAGGGCTTTAATAGAGGTAGAGGGTCAAATCCCCTCATCAGCTACCCAGGAATGACTCAGACTCCGGACACTGCATGTCTTTCAGTTTGTTGTTGTTGTTGCTGTTGTTGTTTAATAGGATCTCTTCCATTTTGGGGGTTGTTTAAGCCGTATTCGTTAGTTTTGAGTCCTATTCTTGAATGATTATGATTCTTTATCATTTCCATGTCAAATGTTTTGATAAGGCCTATTTGATTGTGGACATTGGTCCATTTCTGGAGTCATTTCTGGATGGCTGATGCCTGCCAGAGAGGAATGCTAGAACAAACAGTCAGTGGGGGCAGCTGGGGAAGTCAAGCGCAGTCGCTTGTAGAGGCTGAGGACATTTCGAGGTAGAGAAATGAAGAGAGAGCACTCAGCAGCCGCAAGGCTTAGCCTGGAAACACTACAGTACATCTACACGAAAATGAATATATAAATTGAGACATATACTTACACACCAAGGCAAAGCAAGTGGATGAAACGAAAAAGGAGAGAAAATATGAAGAGTAAGTGAGTGGCATTAGAACAAACTCAGTGGCAGATAGGCCTACTGATAGACACACTGATTCATGGATTAACATACACATTCAATATTTAGGCCACGTCCAACACTGCACAACAACAGTGAAAACCATGGCATGGCAGAACCGAAAAAAATCTTTATTCCCTTCCAGCAAAGAACACTGTAAAACAAATCATTAAACTGAGGACGTATGTTGTGTTCCAAACTGCCCATATGGACATCACCCTCTGTGCTTCATGTCTCCAAGCCCTTGCCCTCACCCCAGGATAATAGGAAGTCCAAACAGACAGGCTATTAGCAGGTGTGAAACATCTGGACTGGTGCTGATTATGCTCCGTTAATTAATTCTCACTCAGCCTTAGCTGGCCTCCTCTCCTCTCCTCTCCTCTCCTCTCCTCTCCTCTCCTCTCCTCTCCTCTCCTCTCCTCTCCTCTCCTCTCCTCTCCTCTCCTCTCCCCGCTCCCCTCCTTCCTCTCCCCGCTCCCCCCACTCCTCTCCTCTATCTCCCTGCAGCTTTGTGAGGTCAACTGTGTGCAGCATGTAGAGAGTGTGCCTCATCAGAAGCCCTGCACGGAGCCCGCCACATAGCCTAGCCCTCAGCCTACAACAGCACGCTGCCTGCCCCACTTTTGGGTCTCTCCTGCAAAGAGCGCTTGGTCTCCCTGGCCATAGTTTCTGGTGACCAGAGGCTATGACTTGGTGTCACTGATCCTCATTAATACTTGGGAAAGCTGCCAAGCCTAGCCTACAGTCAGTGTGTTACACACATCTACTGTGCTATTTATACACTGGAGTTCAATTGAGTTCAATAAGTAAGAACAAGGCAGCGTGACTACTTCAACAGTGACCAAATTAAATGAACAATCAATGCAAAATATAATTATTTATGTGGGCTAGCCTGCAATTCTTGAGATGACAGTATTAACATGGTCATAGGCCTAAATGCTCGCAACTTCAAGGCAGAGCTCTGATTAATATGTTTGCGCCTGACACAAACATTAACCGACTTGATTGAGTCCTTATGGCTACCATTTTTATTCGACCCAATTTATCAGCCTGGTTTCACCGCCTCCAAGATGTCACTGCAAATTGGTCCAAAGTGCATTGATCATAGTCTGTTGACAGGAGGGAACCACAAAAATCAATCTGAGTCAGGGCAGTCTGAAGGACTCCATCTCTATTCACTCACAATATGCTGCAGCTGCACACGCTAACACAATGCAACCCAGGAACAGAAAAAACAGCTTTGGTGATGGTACTTTAAAACAGATACAATGCAAAGCCAGAAAAGGAAAAACCTTCAAATGGACCAATAGGCTTAGGCCTATAGACTGTGTATTGATAATTCCTTTCTAGGCACAAAGCTATAGGCCTACCTAGGCTACCTTCCAGCAGAGGACCCATTTGGACTGACTAGGCCTAATGTTTGTGTACCTGTGACTGAACCTACCCTGACGGAGGATGTTGTTGTTGTCAATAATGTACGACAGCTGGTTGACAACAGCTAAAGCAAATTGACCATGGATAAAACAAGAAGGGTGCCTGCTCAGCTGTGGGCAATGAGGCATATCATTACCAGTAGATGCATTTGTGTTCTGGTAAAAAGCAAACTTAATGGATGTGACAGAGAGAGTGAGCCTATTCCTGGCAGCATTAATAGCCTAGGGCGTCTCTACATCTGTCTGCAGTAAAATGCATGAGTAAACTCAGGAGTTCCTGTCCCCATTATCATGTGACTATTTTGTTTTACTCATTAGAGGGACTCCAATCACAGCACTACGTTGAGTGAGTAGGATTAGGATAGGATACCTGCAAACCTCTGTGGGAGAATGAATCAAATTGAGCCATCAAATGTTATGTATGATTAGAAACTGGGTCTAGAGAGAGAACACTCTTCTCGTTCTTCTCTGGGGCTATTGTATTACTGTTCGCTGTACCAGCTCTCCCAGGGTCAAAGGGTTATTGGTGACTATGAAATGATGCTCAAATTAAAGCCACCGACTGGGGCAATAGTAGCAATGCCCAAGTGTGACAGCTGCACAAGGGGATGGGCAGGCTTTGGCAGCAGGGAATTGTTAGGCGAGTCATGTTTTTGAAGTGAGAAATGATGCAATAAACTTGCATTACCCCAATCAGGCTAGTTGGTATGGCCTAATGATTTCACATCTAAATTGGGTGTAAGATCCCTCCAAGCCTAAAATCCCACCCAGCCTATTAAAGCTAGGCCTAAATGCTAGGAAACAGATCCATTGTCAAAGAGATGGTCATCAGGATAATACACTGTAGCCTATGTAAAGCCACATCCATTATAATTCCAAAATGGTAGCCCCCTAGATGACAGCCATCCCCATTCCCAAATCCCCACTGACTGTCACACTAGATCCAAAATGCCATTCTACCCATTCTGATGCAGCAAGCACCACTCTGCCCAGTCTGCAGTGCCAGATCTGAGACGGTCTCCATGGTAATAGACTTCCAGGATTCTAAAGTGTCTGACTCTGCAAGATTGGCTGAGAGTAGATTTGATCAAATTATTTGCTCATAATGGACATTCAATAGCCTACCCTTTACCCAGGTCTTTTTAAATAGCAAAGTGGTCCCTGTCACCATGGACAGAACTAATATTGGACAGTTGCCTTTGGCAGTACATAAATAGTCTACCTTATCAGCTGGCCTAACACGATGAGAACAAATACTCACTATCTGATAAGATATTCATGATATGCCAACTCAAATGGAGATTTCCAATGACAAGATGTGTCCAAAACATACAAGTTGTTGAAACACCCAACAACTGTTATTATCATGCCATTATTACCATGCTATATAGCCACCAAGACACTATAGAATGAGAGAGGCTGTTCAGTATTCAAGTAGAATGACACTTATAACAGAGAGAACAGACGGAGAGAGCTTTCTCTAGCAAACAATAAAAACACTGCTTGATGACCGACCTCCAGGTGACCTCCAGGTGTCATTGACTGAACACTACAGGCAATCAGGTCTCTATCTCTGGGGAGAATGAAAATCCCTTTCTGATATAGACTAAGGCCTGAAGGAGTGTACCTGACTTTACAATTATTCCTGCCAGATATGAACTGTTCTATAGTCATGTTATTATAGGCTCTTACTGTTATAATAATATTATAACAGTGCTGTTTTATAGACATTATCATTTCATAACATCCCAAATTAATGCATAACCTTCACCACACAGACTAGACTGCATGACTAAATGAACATAGGTCTAGGCTTATAAAGGGGGCTTATGTGAAATTCACCAACAGTTCCCTGGAAGAAGCTATTCTGCTTGATTAATTTTATGAGGCGTGAGGCCTATCTATGCATGCATCCTCCTAGCTGTATCAACACCAAAAGCAAAGACGCTGTATGAGGCCAGCACAGGTGTGCAGGACTGATGTGATATGGGTCTCATCGACTCTTCAGAACTGAAACTATCAGGACACACTGGTCAGGTTAACAACATCTCTAGACAAATGAGGACTGTATAATTTATTGCAGTTCATTAGAAACCAATCTAGCTTGCTAGACTCAGTCCATGTGATTATTCTGGATAGAACGTAAAGAACTCCCCCACAGGTAAGTATAATTGCATAGCTTAAGATACTGTATTTCATTCTTTATCAGCTGTACCGGCTAGCTAACGGTACTCACTTCTCGGCAGCTGCCTGCTTGGTGGCGGTTTCATTGCTGGTGGCGGTGTCATTTTTGGTGTCCGTTGGCGGTGAACCGTTATGGCTCTTGGTGGAGAGGTTCCGAGTTCCGTGGGTGTTGGTAGTGTATGGCGTAGCTCTCCATCCAACCGCATGCTGGACACACTTTACTTTGGTCACGGATCTGACATCTGTACAGGCGGTGCTAAAGCAATACGCGACTGATGGTGATGACTTTCTGGCGATACCTGTCAAAGGGCGCTTCAGGTTGGATTGAAACAACTCCTTGAGCACTACCGAAGACCGAAAATGTAACATTTCAATCCTATCAAGCTAAATAGTGGAACGGTTTATAACTCAAGCTAGCTAGATATTGAATAAATATGAAGCAATATATTCCAAATGCGTTGGGTCTCGGTCGTGAAGAACCGTTCAGTCAGTGAGTCACGATTCTCAGATGTTTTCTAGTGGACAAAAACCTCTCATTCACGCCCAACTCGACTCCTATTGGCTCCTGTTAGCGCGTAAATCACCCTCAGATTGGCTGGTCTTGTTGGCTGTCATTCATGCTAATTTCCCGTGCATCATGGCTTCAAATATACCAGGTGAATGTGACCAAAGATTATGAATATACTGACAAGATACACGTCTCTCCGCCGCCCTAACTATGGGGAGTCGTTGTCCACAAATCGGCACAGCGGGCTGTCTATCCTTTCTTTGGATTGGTGGATACATCTAATTATTGTAATTTATTTTTGAATATTCGATGACGGTTGTTGACGTCAACCGCCTGTATTCAATGGCGAAAGATGCTATGCTACTAGCCTCAATCCATGAGACAACTCGGATATAAAGTGTTTTTTTCTTCCAAAGTTGCCGGGATGTCACGTGTCCTACGTGTAGCAAATAAGCCATTCATTTTTTGTTGTTGACCAAATTCGACACTCTCTCATTGACCTCCATACAGAAACTCCTTGCTTGGTGGGCGAAACAACAAGTGATTATGTTCATTGTATTTAATTACCACACCATGTTTCTGTGCTCAACTAGGTTGAATATTTGCTTAGTGAAAACTACAACTCCCTTCAGCCCAGCGTCCCATATAGTTATTGACTTCATTTCTCTTGTGAATGATTTGATTTCTCTCTAGAGAAACAGCGTGTTGGGCTCACAAAAAACCCTTAACTAAAAGGAATTTAAATAATTGAACCAACGTCGGTCAATTAGTTGTTTAGTAACCAAAATGTCGGTTAATAGCTGTCTATTAAAACTGAGTGGTTCAAACCCTGAATGCTGATTGGCTGGAATATACCCTTGTGGTATATTGGCCATATACCACACCCCATATTGCCTTATTGCTTAATTATTATTTTTTAAATCCATAAAACATATTAACATGCTACAACTGATGCACATCAATAAATAATTGCAACAAACACACTGGAAAACCAGTGAAATCGACTTTAGGCTAACTAAAGCGCGTTAGATAAAGGTCAGTGCTATCCAGTATCCTTTGGATGTCCCTACCCTAAACCCTAACCCCTTACCTTAACCCAACCCTAACCTTAACACTTACCTTTAAAATGTCAACTTCAATGGGGTACGGACTTCCCAAGGATTCCGGATAGCATGTCAGTATGGTTGAAAGTATGGATTATATCCATTGACCTCACGCTCCGCGCAGGTCGAGTAATAATAACAAACAACAAAGTCACGCCAGTGACGTGACCGCGTGGGAGGACGGGCCCGTGGTTCACATTAAACCGTACATCAGACCACGCATTGCCTCTTATTTCTTCTTCAAAATTAGCTTAGCTGTATTGCACAAATTGACTGCTCCGCTGCTCCTGTTTTTCGGATTGTATCTTCCCAGGTGCCTGGAGGGTAAGCTAAACTCTGTGTGAGTTGTGTGTACAGCCTGTGACCTGTGGGTCAGAATGCGAAATTCGCCCTCCAAGGCTGTGTATCCGTCATCCTGGCTAATATAGGATAACCATTGGCCAGAAGGTACCTATCCCTCCAGAGGGAAAGTACCTATCCCTTTTATCAGAGGATATCAGGCTTCCTTGTCTTGTGATGACTTACCAGCTAGTGTGTTTGTTGAACACCGTACTCCTGTGCTAACCTTGTCAAGATATCTTCCACTGCCGTGCTCGTTAGAGGCCACCAGGGCACTAGAACTCTCTGCCATCCCAGGTAACTAAAACTAGCAATAAAACCAGATTCAAAAACCAGATATGATGGGGACTGTGAAGAGACACATACATTTTTGTATATAATGTTGTATTTTGCATTGTATTATGCATTGCATTATGTCATGTAGTGATATGTGATGGGAGCTTCTGCTAAATGACTGAAGTGTCATGTAAATATAGTGTTACAACCTGCAATTTAAATATACTTTTATTTGGATTTCATGTAATGAACATACAAAATAGTCCAAATTGGTGAAGTGAAATGAAACAAAATAACTTGTTTAAAAAAAAATAAAAAAACGGAAAAGTGGTGCGTGCATATGTATTCACCCCATTTGATATGAAGCCCCTAAATAAGATCTGGTGCAACCAACTACCTTCAGAAGTCACATAATTAGTTAAATAAAGTCCACCTGTGTGCATTCTAAGTGTCACATGATCTGTCACATGATCTTAGTATATATATACACACCTGTTCTGAAAGGCCCCAGAGTCTGCAACCCCACTAAGCAAGGGGCACCACCAAGCAAGCGGCACCATGAAGACCAAGGAGCCCCAAACAGGTCAGGGACAAAGTTGTGGAGAAGTACAGATCAGGGTTGGGTTATAAAAAAATATCAGAAACTTTGAACATCCCACGGAGCACCATTAAATCCATTATTAAAAAATTGAAAGAATATGGCACCACAACAAACCTGCCAAGAGAGGGCCGCCCACCAAAACTCACAGACCAGGCAACGAGGGCATTAATCAGAGGCAACAAAGATAACCCTGAAGGAGCTGCAAAGCTCCACAGCGTAGACTGGAGTATCTGTCCATAGGACCACTTTACGCTGTACACTCCACAGAGCTGGGCTTTACGGAAGAGTGGCCAGAAAAAAGCCATTACTTAAAGAAAAAAATAAGCAAACACGTTTGGTGTTCGCCAAAAGGCATGTGGGAGACTCCCCAAACATATGGAAGAAGGTACTCTGGTCAGATGAGACTAAAATTGAGCTTTTTGGCCATCAAGGAAAACGTTATGTCTGGCGCAAACCCAACACCTCTCATCACCCCGAGAACACCATCCCCACAGTGAAGCATGGTGGTGGCAGCATCATGCTGTGGGGATGTTTTTCCATCGGCAGGGACTGGGAAACTGGTCAGAATTGAAGGAATGATGGATGGCGCTAAATACAGGGAAATTCTTGAGGGAAACCCGTTTCAGTCTTCCAGAGATTTGAGACTGGGACAGAGGTTCACCTTCCAGCAGGACAATGACCCTAAGGATATTGCTAAAGCAACACTCGAGTGGTTTAAGGGGCTTAGTCAAAGCCCAGACCTCAATCCAATTGAGAATCTGTGGTATGACTTAAAGACTTCTGTACACCAGCGGAACCCATCCAACTTGAAGGAGCTGGAGCAGTTTTGCCTTGAAGAATGGGCAAAAATCCCAGTGGCTAGATGTGCAAAGCTTATAGAGACATACTCAAAGAGACTTGCAGGCTCTACAAAGTATTGACTTTGGGGGGGGGGGTGAATAATTATGCACGCTCAAGATTCCTGTTTTTTGTCTTATTTCTTGTGTGTTTCACCCCCAAAAATATTTTGCATCTTCAAAGTGGTAGGCATGTTGTGTAAATCAAATGATACAACCCCCCCAAAAATCTATTTTAATTCCAGGTTGTAAGGCAACAAAATAGGAAAAATACCAAGGGGGGTGAATACTTTCGCAAGCCACTGTAACTGACGCTAACTGTAGAGATTTTTTTTCTATTGATAATGTAAAATTAACAGCCATACAGAAAGACTCATGTGAAGGTGAAATTACAGAGGAGGAACTTCTGGATGCAATTAAAGACTAAGTCCGGGAAAACTCCAGGGTTGGATGGCATACCAGCCGAGTTATACCAAACCTTTTTTGATATACTCAGAGGACCGTTATTAGCATGTTTTAACCACTCCTATGTAAATGGTAGATTATCAGACACTCAAGAAGAAGGTCTGATTTCATTATTACTGAAACAGGATACAAGTGGGAAATATAAAGATCCAGTCCATTAAAACAATTGGAGGCCCCTTACACTTCAGTGTTGTGATGCAAAGATTTTTGCTAAATGTATAGCGCATAGAATTAAAAAGGTATTGTCGGACATTATTCATTCAAATCAGACAGGTTTTTTACATGGACGATACATTGGAGATAATTTAAGGCAAGTACTGGAAACAATAGAACACTATGAAAAATCTGGGAAACCAGACCTGCTATTCATAGCAGACTTTGAAAATACATTTGATAAAGTACGACTGGAGTTTATATATAAATGCCTGGAGCATTTCAATTTAGGAGAATCTCTTATAAAATGGGTTAAAATCAGGTATAGTAACCCTAGGTGTAAAATAGTAAATAATGGCTATTTCTCCAAAAGTTTTAAACTGTCAAGAGGAGTAAAACAAGGTTGTCCACTATTGGCATATCTATTTATTATGGCCATCAAAATGTTAGCTATTAAAATCAGATCCAACAATAATATCAAACAAAATGTGTCATTGTACACTGATGATTCATGTTTTCTTTTAAATCCACAACTTGAATCCCTCCACAGCCTCATAGAGGATCTAGATTACAACCAAATTATGATAAATGTACTATATTACGTATTGGATCACAAAAAAATTACTTTTACATTACCATGTAGTTTACCAATAAAATGGTCTGACGGTGATGTGGACATACTTGGTATACATATCCCGAAAGAAATACATTCTCACTACAATACATTTTAATAGAAAAATAGATAAGATCTTGCTATCATGGAAAGGAAAATACCTGTCTATTTGTGGAAAAATCACCCTGATTAACTATTTAGTGATATCCCAGTTGACCTATTTGCTTTGGTCTTGCCTACACCTGTTTTTTAAATTATATGAGCAAACAATATTCACTTTTATTTGGAACGGCAAGCCAGACAAAATTAAACGGGCCTATTTAAATAATGAATATGAATTCAGAGGGCAGAAATTATAAAATATTAAAGCATTAGACCTCTCACGAAATGCGTCAGTCATACAAAAGTTATACTTAAATCTGAACTGGTTCTCTAGAAGATTAGTAAAAATGCCTCAGCCCATGTTCAAGAATGG